CTTCTTCCTCTTCTTCTTCTTCCTGTTACAGATGACATCCCAGTCTCTTAACACTGTATATCAAATTTATTTCTCAGTCCTTTTCTTACTGTGCTCGTATTCTTTGTCTTCTGCTTCACCGTCTCTCAGTATCACGGTCGCCACATAATCATTAATGTCTCTAGAATCCAAGTGCGAATATTTTGTCTTCTCTGTATTTGATATGGAGGGCGTGTACTTTTCATGAAATGTATATTGTTGATCTCATGGGATGGATGGATGGGTGTGTACAGTCCGTTATGTAAAACCACGTCTGTTTTCGTCCTCATGAGAGAGATGTATTTACTATTTGTCCCTTTTGAACAATTGGTCCAACATGTCTTTTGAAACAGAGGTATTTCTCTACAGGTCAGAACAGTTGTAGCAGTTTATACAGTATGTTGTATAACACCTTTTTTCTAAAAGTCGTCTCTGAAGTGAGGCCAGCAGCATACACTATGTACAATAGTCTAAATTGGATTAGTTTTAAGAGAACTGATGATAGAGATACTATATATGATGGATGCAATATGATTAAAGGTACTCATTGAGTTTGATCTTCAAACTTAGGTTATGTAATTTAAAAGCATTCTTGTGAAGTGAGTATTAATTGTGACTAATGAGAGTCTGTCCTGAATATTCTTTGTATTTTGCCGTATTGAGAATAAAATATATATGGATATGTTTAATGGAGTGTCACTTATTTTATTTTAACAACACAAGATTTTTTAGTTTGAGGAACCAGAAGAAGGCTTAATTTAGTCTTAATTTATTGTGTAAATCTAAAAAATAAGCCAGATAACGTGTTAAATATGGATATTTTATGGTGACAAATCTATAGGAGGTTATACGTGGGAAAATAAATAAAAAGAAAGTAAAACTTAAGAGGTAAATATGCAAAAAGGCCCTATTTGATTTACTGAGCAATAAACTTAAATATGCCCTGTGGATATAGATAAATAACTATATATATACATAACTAAAGTTGTGTTTACTTTAAGTGCTTGTGCATCCTTGTGCTCCATAGTGCTACCAGAGGTCAAAAACTAATTTTTTTTCTGGAGCTGGAAATGAAGTTACAGTCTTTCATTATATCTAATATACATAGCATAGCCTGATAGGCAACATAATGTAAACTTTTGTGGGCACAGACTTCAGCTGGAAACATCTACACTTTAAATTTCAAACAATTCTGTGATATTGGTCGATTAGAGTATAAATAGCAAATGCCAGCGTCCAAATCTCTGTCTAGATTGCAAATGAATTATGTGAATAATAATTTAATGGATGAATTTGAACAACAATAAGAAAAAGGACGTTGCAAACTCAAATTACAAAGCGGAGCTATGGCCACAAGTTGGAATATGGATAATAAGGACACAGTATACAATACAGTGCATAGGGGACACTGTTGGAAGTATTCAGCAATAGCAAAACATATAAATACTTATTACATGTGAAATGTCTGGATTAAAAATCCTCCATCCTCCTGGCATATTATTATTTAAGCATTATTGAATTTGTATTATTAGCTATGCATTAATATGTATGCAGCACTTTATGTCGCAGCTGGTTAAGATGGAGTTAACTTTACATACTGTTGGATCAATAAACTTATTGTAATGCATTGTATTTTATAAACTAATCATTGGTTTTTAATTCATTTATAATAACTTCTATCTAGTAACACCAGCTGTTAAATAAATGTGATAGAGTAAAAAGTGTAGTACTCCCCTCTAAAGTGTGTCATGAAGGGACTTGGTACAACACACACAGCTGCTGACAGAGAGCTCAGTCTGTGCTTCAGTTCTCAGTCAATGAATTGCCACCAAGTGGTCATGAGTCGCTATTGTCAATGCTGTAATCCCATCAATTTAAGCCTTATCACCGGATTGTCATCACAGTCACCATGTTGTGTTTTGGTTGTTGATCGTTCAATAACTTCAGCAGAATCCCTTGTACTGAAATAATGCTAATATGACCGGGGAGGAGGGTGACTTTGAAACAGTGTTGGGCTATTTTGAAGGCCTTCTGGATTGTAAACGAGGAAGGTTTTAAGATTTTGTCACAGCAAACAAACAGTTATTTGCAAAAACAAAAACAAAGAAACATTCACCAATATAGTAGGTGGCTTTAAGATCAGCTTGATGGTTTAAATATAGAGAAAAATGTACAATACAGTTTAACTATCTGGAGACTGCAGTCAAAAACAAAACCAAATCCAAGTTAATTGAATCTTTTATATTATAAATGCTTCTTTAATTGTACATACATACAATTCAACATATTGAAACCTTGGCTTTAATATAAAATGTAAATGTGCATGTACATAAAAGCACTTGTTCCCATCTGTCTGACACTGAATGATCTTTTAATGAATAAAGGAGTAACATAACGCCAGCTGGATGCAAACAAGTATCAATGGTGCTTTAGAAGAATATTCTTCTACTGTGTCCTCAACCATCCAAACAGTGGAGCCTCAGTTGTTTGTCTAGTTTTAATAATAAACAGATGTTGTCTCGTTAATCTTTCTGTGCATAAAACAAAGGTATTCAAAGTAGTTTATATAGCTTTGCATTGCAGAGCCTCTTAGAAATGATTAGCTCCTTTCAATCCACATTGTGCTGGCCCGGGAACATTAACTCTTATGTAGACTGTAATGCTTTTTCATGGCCACTTTGTGTTTTCACATTTTATTATTATTATTATTATTATTTGACTCTTTACAGTTTTTACCTGTAATAATAATACTTTAAACACTAATATTTTTTATTTACTTACACTCCATAGCAATATCTCACTGTTAGTTTTATCTTCTTCCTCATTTCAGTGAACTGAACATCACAACAATACAGAGAAACTCCTGCTTTCACTGTTCCGCCATTAACCCCGACTGACCAATAGGGTGTCGTGTTTCCCCAAAGGGCCCGCCCCCCGCCGCCTCTGATTGGTCTACGCGCTCCTCTATTACCTTTCATCCGCTTCTCTCTCCAGGGAATAAGGTAAGCTCACTGCGACTGCGAGCGAAGGAAAAAGGAAAGCTCATTACCGAGGGATGCGACACACGCCAGCCGACAGCGAGGAAAGTGAATTTTAGCCCAGTGAAGTTTATGTATTCACTACTAATGTTATATTTCGAGAAGAGGAAACACAAAAGTACAAAAAGTACAGGTTGAGAACCGCGAAGTGACCGGGAATCAGCAGGTACGTGAAGGCGACATTGGTGGCGGCAGGTGCATTCAGTATCGCTGTGGCTGCTCAGTTTCGGTTGTCAACTGTCAACCTGTTGCTTACCATTTCTTTCTCTGTTTCTCGTACAAAAAAGAAAAAGAAAAAGGGGCATAGGATAGCTTTATGGACTAAAGGAAATCTTTTATTTTGAACCTCTTTTTGTAGTTTTAAGTTTAATAAGAGAAATAAAACTGCTCTCAGTTCTGATGGGAGGAAACGTAGCAAATAGTCCCTTATTATTGGTCATACTGATCTCAGACTAACACCTGTTGAACTCCTACTACATTTTCTATCATTTGTTCTGACAAAATTGTAATTTTATTTCTTATCCTAACATATATTTCTAATCTTGTGCTCTGGGGAAACACCTGACTGATGGAAAATTATAATGATGGTAATGTACATCCCTTTTAATAGACAGGAGAAACACAAACTACTGTCTATCACCACATTTAACTGCCATTTCCATACTCTCTGTGTTGTACATTACTCATGCAATGTGTTTGACAGTATTATGAGAACAACATAGCATTGTCCTTCCTTACCCTTATCTCCTGGCCTCAAATTGATACCTTGCCCTGAATTATGCACAGGAGGGCCTTTCTACCTAATGACTGGACTATGTTTTATTTAAAGTGGGAACAAAAGGTGCCACGGCTGTGGCAGGGTTGCTTTTGGGGGAAACCAGACACTGGTGTTTTGTGCTGTGGCTGAAACTGAAGCACTCATGCGGCGCGTTGGTCAGATGGTGGGAGCAGGAGGAGCACACTGGCCTCTCTGTGTGCTGCTGCTGGACGCCCAGGCTCAGGCCGCCGACCCGGCTCGACTCCTCTGCACCCACACAGTCTGACCTGGAGGCTGCGAAGACGCCCTCGCAGTGACGTTAGCGCAGAGTGTACATGGTGTAACGACAGCACAAACGCATGCACAGGAACTCGCATGTTCACCGAGGAAAGGATGCATCCAACCAAAAACACCTGTTGATCACCGAACCTCTCTAATGTTGCACTGCTTGGATAATTGTGCACAGATGGATGCTTGAACTTGTCAGATGAAGCACTAACTCAGCAACACGCCGCATGATGACTTGACACAAAGCCAAGACATGTGCCCCATTTTGGTAACTGCTGCACATTCAGGTGGTTGTACACATGATAGCTTGGGTAGCTGCTGTGTGTTTGCAGGAAGATTAAAGAAGAAAGGAAGCCGGAAACAAAAGATGGAGGCAAATAAAACTTGGGCAAGGCTATAAAATAAGAGTAGGGTCACAAAGCCACGGGCCGTTACACATAAACGTATCCTGGGTGTTGAAACTTGATCTCTTTCTCTTCTTTCTCTCCATCTAAGGTAACAAGAAATGTGTGCACAGCATTGGTGAACAACAAAAAGTGTGTGTATAGTACATATAGAGACTCAGAATAGCTCGAGTTAGGGTGTTTGGGACTACATGTGTTGTTGACTTGGTGGGTCTGGTTTTTTTTTTTTTTTAACAGTGAAAAATTACTCTTGGTGTGTTTGAGTGTGTGGTTTGGACGCAGTTGTTTACATTCTTCCAGTGACCTTTTGCACAGCCCACCTCTACAAGAATGAACTGAGTTAGAGTGAGTTGAGTTCAGATGGGTTCATGTTGATTCTGCACCAATAAGGAACCATCACGGAGGCAGTAGCCGAGAATCATTACGTGCTAAAAACTTAGTTTGTGGAAGAATGTTGCTGAAAGTGGTGATGCAAACAACTGAACTTGATTTTCAGATTTTAAGAATCAAATGAATACAAATAACACTAAAGTGGAGAAATTCTTTATGCAGTTACTCACGCTGAGTAATTTAATCATTTCCACTGTAATGTGTTTATTTATAGTGAAGGGGTCAGAGTGAGATAATGGTTAGGGATGTACAGAAGCTGTCCAGAGTTATAAATCAGTCAACAGCTTGTTTTTCTGGTGTGTTTCTGGTATTCTTACCTGTACCTTTTACATTTTCCCATAAAGGAAGTGTGATCTTGCTGTAATTCCACCTCTTTCTTTCTACCTGCATTATGTGACTCTTTCACCGGCATTGTTGGTTCTAGGAAAAATGCTTTAAGGGAAATAGCTGATTTAGTGAATGACTCATTCTAAGGAATGGGGGATTCAGTGTTTTTCTTCAATTGAAGAATGATTGACTTCAGACCGGCTGAATCAGGTACAAGAGAGGATCTGTAAGGATGTTATGTGTGAATGACTAACATGTAATTTTTTTTTTTTTAATATAAATCAGCTGATGTGATCAAGCACCACCAGGTTTTGCCATGCAGTGTTTTAGTAAGGATGGACGATTTAAGTAACGGGAATAACAAGGGGGGGACTGAAAGTCCATTAGACCTGTTGTTGTTATTATTATTATTATTATTATTATTATTATTATTATTATCAAGGTTTTAATGGGTAATAAAGTCAGACTTTTCAGGATGACATACTGGAGAATGGGGATATACGAGATGAGCTCAGGTCATCGTGTCATGCAGATGTGCCTGTATATTTCAGAACTTCCATCATGGCGATACTATGATATTATATAATAAAACTATAATTAGCATGTAGGATTGTTAGCAACTGGTGTGGTGTCCTGGTTTGTGAAGGTGCTGACGTCATGCTCTGTTTCAACCTCGGAAAGGTCGATAACACGATGGATGCACATTGATCACAGTGCGTGATGTAACGTACAGGTATTCAGGTACACTTAGGTTCCATGACATCATTGCGGTAAAAACCAGAAAGGTCCCTTTAAACGCTGATAAGGAGATCAGGGGGAATGCCATTCTTAAGAGCTAAGAGCGCCGAACAGGAAGAGAAAAAAGCCCCCGCTTGAAAATGCTGTAATCACGTTGAAATTTCCCCCACAGGATTAATAAGTGGCAGGAAGTAACAGAAAGAAAGTCTGAGGTTATTGAAACTAGCAGGCATGTTGCAAGTGGAATCACTGATAAGGAAATGCATTGATGTTAAATCGCTTTACTGATAATCAGGATGAAAGCAGCAGTAACTTTATTACTACGTCATAAAGACATGATCGAGCTAATAGATGAGTTTGTGCAGATGTTTCCAATTGTTAGCTCAGCTTTTTTATGGTAGTCCTAGATGTGGAGGTGGAGAACCTTTGGCATCAACAATAGATATATCCATAATAGATTGCTAGTAGAAGTGTAGTTTTGTCTGTGACTTTGACTGAAAACTGCTCTAATCAATGTTTATATATTGACATTTGCTCAAAAGAATATATGCACTGTGAAGTGTCAACGGGGTTACTCTGAGTGACAGAGCTTCTGAAGCTAAAAGGAGAGTGAATAATGGACTTCCTCAGGTAGCCAGAAACACAACTCCAAACAAACACTAATGTTGCTCCATGTTTGCTGGATGTAAACATGCAACTGTTTGCTGAAAGGTTTGTCAACTTTTAAAAGGTTTTATGTCAGTGTCGTGGTTACAGCACGTTTCTGCCTCTCCCAAGTGGCCCAAAAACTCCATTAATGCAGGTTTAAGTCAATTTCTACCCTTTTATTTATTTATTGTTTTTGTTGTCGTCAGGTATTGGCCTAAAAGGGAAAAAACACCTTCCTGCTCCAGATGTGGATACATTCCCCCTCTTATTCTTCACTTTTTAACATTCCCCGCTCTCTTTCGCTACCTTTTGTTGTCGCTTCAGAGCTCTTTTGAGCAGGCTGGGCTAGAGGGCTTTTCCTTACCTGGGTTTGACCACGCTCTGCTCTGCAGTTGTGAGTTATTGTCAGATCCTCCTTCTTTTGTCAGGCGAACAGAGGGGCCTCTTCAGGCCCCGTGGAGCAGATGGATGAGAAGGAGACAAATAGCTGAAAGAGGTTATCGCTGGCTAATACGAGAGCCCCTGAGGGCAGGCTGGGAAGTGTGTATGGTTATGTCTGTCTGCCTGCCTGTTCTGGTTATCTTCTGGGGCCACACCTACACTATTGTGTGGCCCTATAGGACCCTCACATGGCAGTGTCATATATCATGTGGGTAAGTGTGCACAGTGAGTGTGTGGGTGTGTAACCTATTTGTTTCTCCTTTTCCCTACTTTTTTGGGAAAATACAATTATATGAACACATTGCAGAGACAATAAACAAATAAAACTAATCCAATAATAGTTAATAATAATAATAAGTAATATACAAGTTTTATTATTTTTATGACTCATTAATCAATGGTTTGGACTACGGAGCTCGTCATCCTTTTTGTGTGTTTAAGAGAGAAATGAGTAACGGCAGACAGACTATGGTGTGTGTGTGTGTGTGTGTGTGTGTGTGTGTGTGCAGTTGTATCTTCATAATACACGGTGCTAACAGGTCTGCTGGAGGACCTTCTCAGCTTTCACAGCCGCTGATGAAAAGGTGTGGGTGAGGGGTTGTCGCTGAGACTTGAGCCGGCCACGGTCACAGTAATATGGCTGTGATATTGACTAATAAAAGAGGCATTTACAGCTGTCTGACATGGCTGGAAGTAGAGGCTTGATGTCTTCTTTTTGTGTGTGTGTGTGTGTGTGTGTCTGCGTGTGTCCAGTCTGAGCTGGAATGACTTTAACACCTGGGCTGTAACTCTGGGATATTGGCACTTTTTTATGTCCGTCTAAGTTAGTGAAATAAAACATCTTAGTGAATATTAGATAAAAGTAGCAAGTCAGTTAATTAGATGAAATGATACAATTTTATGTAATTTAGGGCTGAAACTATATTTTGAGTAATTGATTAGTCGATAATTTTGATA